GATTGACGGTTGAGAGGCGGGACCAAAGAGCCAGAGCTCAACCCCCGCAAACACAACTAGGTGAGTACAACTAGGTGAATACAAATTAATACGTACAAGTCACACAGGAATACATTTAACATGGCGTTTTCCTCACAACATAAGATCACTTCGTATTATAAACTCAAGTGGCTCTGACCCCCCCACGGCTCACTGTCCCATACCTGGTACCGTGCACCCAGCCACAAACCGCTATCTTCCAACGACACATATATTTTTGCCTCTAGGAAACCTGGACTCTTATAAAACCTCTCCAACTTCTGTAATATTACTCTACCAAATCTTGCAACCATGGATATAGACAAGGACAGGCTTATCTAACTGAACGGCCGGAGAAAACCCCTCAAATAGCAGGAACGGTCGGCAGCGATACACCTCCCCCTTCAGTCAAGATGGCGTCCACCTCTCTTGCATCATCGCCCCTTAATACTCTACTCTTTACATATACTGTCAAACACATATAATGATTTTATTTACTATATTCCCCCATACATACTTTTTAATAGAGTCCATTTTCCCTTACATAGTTAAGCTACTCAAGTTTACATTATTTCTGATGATCTCCAGCTGAGAAGGCACTACTTTACTGGGCGGAGTATTAATGGTGACTCGCGGCCTCTCTGATCTCAGCTAGGGATTTATTTTAATATACACTCTCCCTGTGTCCACCAACATTTTACAACCGAAACCAACCTCCACAGGAGGTAAGGTTCGTAACACGAGCCACGCTCTGCACACGCGTGCGAGCCACGCTCTACACACGTGGGCTCACACCCACCGGACCGCCATTTCATACATACCGGAGTGCAGGCTCACACCCACCAGAGCGCGGACTCACACACACACTGGAGCGCGGACTCACACCCACTGGAGCGCGGACTCACATGCACCCACTGGAGTGCGGACTCACATGCACCCACTGGAGTGCGGACTCACACCCACTGGAGCACGGACTCACACCCAATGGAGTGTGGTTCTCTCCCGCAGCGTGGTTCTGCCCTGGAGTATGGTTCTCCCCCGGAGCGTGGTTCTTTCCCTGAGCCTCGCTCTCTCCTGGAGAGCACCTTTTGGGAGGCTCAGAAGGTATATTTCTTTATCGTGGGCGTGACGAATTTCTTTGTGTCCCAGACGACTTCCATGACCCTGGACACAGCGTCGGACACATTATCAGAAAATTGTCAGCCATGTCAGCCAAGTCGTAGCTGACATCGTCACTTTCCCCTTACCTACAAACTTATAATGTAAATTTCTCCCTTATCAGGCCACATATACCAAAAGATTCCCTGCATCTCAGAGAATAGGGTGAGGCACGGATATAGGGTGAGGGCACCGTAACAACAACTTGTTCATCTCCCTTCGACTGCTGCAATAAACATGTTGATTGTCTGGTGGTGTTTAGGCCCAGTCATTGCAAGAGAACGAAAAAAATATAAAAGTGAAACTGCGTTGGTGTGAGTCTGCGCTCCGGTGGATGTGGACCCGCTCTCCGGTGGATGTGGACCCGCTCTCCGGTGGATGTGGACCCGCTCTCCGGTGGATGTGGACCCGCTCTCCGGTGGATGTGGACCCGCGCTCCGGTGGATGTGGACCCGCGCTCCGGTGGATGTGGACCCGCGCTCCGGTGGATGTGGACCCGCGCTCCGGTGGATGTAGACCCACGCTCCGGTGGATGTGGACCCGCGCTCCGGTGGATGTGGACCCGCGCTCCGGTTGATGTGGACCCGCGCTCCGGTTGATGTGGACCCGCGCTCCGGTGGATGTGGACCCGCGCTCCGGTGGATGTGGACCCGCGCTCCGGTGGATGTGGACCCGCGCTCCGGTGGATGTGGACCCGCGCTCCGGTGGATGTGGACCCGCGCTCCGGTGGATGTGGGCCCGCGCTCCGGTGGGTGTGAGCCCGCGCTACGGTGGGTGTGAGCCCGCGCTACGGTGGGTGTGAGCCCGCGCTACGGTGGGTGTGAGCCCGCGCTACGGTGGGTGTGAGCCCGCGCTCCGGTGGGTGTGAACCCGTGCTACGGTGGGTGTGAATCGGCGGTTCGGTGGGTGTGAACCCGCGTTCAAATGAGAGAGCCACGCTCTGCACACGCGGGAGAGCCACGCTCTGCGCACGCAGAAGAGCCACGCTCGACACATGCGTGAGAGCCACGCTCGACACACACGTGAGAGCCACGCTCGACAGACGCACGAGAGCCACGCTCGACACACGCACGAGAGCCACGCTCGAGACACGCGTGAGAGCCATGCTCTACACACGCACCTGAGCCACGCTCTACATACGCGGCCAAGCCACGCTCTACATACGCCCGCGAGCCACGCTCTACACATGCGCGTGAGCCACGCTCCACACACGCGTGCGAGCCACGCTCTCCACATGCGCGCGAGCCACGCTCTGCACACGCGTGCAAAGCCACGCTCTACATACGCAGGTTCACACCCACCGGACCGCCGTTTCACACACACCGGAGCACGGGCTCACACCCATCGGAGCGCGGGCTCCCACCCACCGGAGCGCGGACTCACACCCACCGGAGCGCGGACTCACACCCACCGGAGCGCGGACTCACACCCACCGGAGCGCAGACTCACACACACCGGAGCGCGGATTCACAGCCACCGGAGCGCGGATTCACAGCCACCGGAGCGCGGACTTACACCCACTGGAGCTCGGACTCACATCCAATGGAGCGTGGTTCTCTCCCGCAGTGTGGTTCTGCCCTGGAGTATGGTTCTCCTTCGTAGTGGAGCGCAGACCTTCCCTGGAGCATGGTCCTTACCCTGAGCCCTGCTCTCTCCTAGAGAGCACCTTCTGGGAGGCTCAGAAGGTATATTTCTTTATTGCAGGCGTGACAAATTTCTTTGTGTCCCAGACGACTTCCATGACCTTGGACACGGCGTCGGACACGGCGTCGGACACATTATCCGAAAAATTGTCCGCCATGTCAGCTAAGTCGTAGCTGACATCATCCATTTTCAGTTTAAAATCCATCATCTGGTCGGAATTCGTCAATTTCTCCATCAACTCAGGAATTCCTTCTTTGACGCCTGCGACTGCGTCAGAACCCACGACGGAGTTCCTGAAGCCTACGAGGCGTTCTTTCACTCCCACGAAAGTGTCTTTGATACTCTCGACAACCTCCGTGGCTGAGAGTGGCTGCTGCCAGGCGGGATGTGCCGTCGTGGGCTGATGGTGGTTAGTCGCCGGGGCCCACATCTCCTGGGGCTCAGTTGTCATCCGCTGGGTCCTTTTCCTAACCCCCAGGGAATCGTTCCTCACCTCCGGGGACCCGTTCCATACCCCCAGGAGCTCGTTCCTCACCTCCGGGGGCTCGTTCCTCACCTCCGGGGGCTCGTTCATCACCCCAGGGGCTCGTTCATCACCCCAGGGCTCGTTCATCAGCCCCAGGGGCTCGTTCATCAGCCCCAGGGGCTCGTTCATCACCCCCAGAGGCTCGTTCATCACCCCCAGGGGGTGATGAATTTCTTTGTGGTCGAACCCTTGGAAGAACACACCCATGGGTGCCTTCTTCACCTCCGGAAGCTTGTTCCTCACCTCCGGGGGCTCGTTCCTCACCTCAGTTGGCTCGTTCATCACCCCCGAGGGCCCGATCCTCACCCCCAGGGGCTTCACCCTCCGGGGCCCGTTCCTCATCCTCTGGGGCCCGCTCTTCACCTGCTGGGACCCGGTCGTCGTACCCTGGGGCCAGTTCCTCTCCCCCAGGGGCTTGTTCTTCACCCCCAGGGGGTGACGAATTTCTTTGTGGTCGAACCCCTGAAAGAACGCACCTAGGGGCTCGTTCTTCACCCCCAGGGGTGAAGAACGTGAGGTGAGGTCGTTTTCCTTGTGGTCGAACCCCTGGAAGAAAGCACCCAAGAGATCGTTCTTCACCCCCAGGGGCTCCTTCTTCACCCCCAGGGGCTCGTTTTCTTTGTGGTCGAACCCCTGGAAGAACGCACCCAGGGGCTCCTTCTTCACCCCCAGGGGGTGACGAATTTCTTTGTGGTCGAACCCCTGGAAGAACGCACCCCGGGGCTCGTTCCTCACCTCCGGGGGCTCGTTCTTCACCTCCGGGGGCTCGTTCTTCACCTCCGGGGGCTCGATCTTCACCCCCAGGGTCCTCACCCTCTTGGGCCTGTTCTTCACCCTCTGGGACCCGCTCTTCGCCCCCTGGGGCCAGTTGCTCACCCCTGGGGCTAGAGAGTTCATACTTGCAGTAGACTCATTTGCTGTCTCAACCCGTGGCAGGAGCTGCTGCTCCTGGTGGGGCGTGAGGTCCTGGTTCTCCTGCAGTGTGAGGTCCTGGTCCTCCAGGTGGGGTGTGAGGTCCTGGTCCTCCTGCAGTGTGAGGTCCTGGTCCTCCTGCAGTGTGAGGTCCTGGTCCTCCTGCAGTGTGAGGTCCTGGTCCTCCTGCAGTGTGAGGTCCTGGTCCTCCTGCAGTGTGAGGTCCTGGTCCTCCAGGTGGGGTGTGAGGTCCTGGTCCTCCTGCAGTGTGAGGTCCTGGTCCTCCTGCAGTGTGAGGTCCTGGTCCTCCTGCAGTGGGAGGTCCTGGTCCTCCTGCAGTGGGAGGTCCTGGTGGGGGGTGAGGTCTGGTCCTCCTGCAGTGGGAGGTCCTGGTCCTCCTGCAGTGGGAGGTCCTGGTCCTCCTGCAGTGGGAGGTCCTGGTCCTCCTGCAGTGGGAGGTCCTGGTCCTCCTGCAGTGGGAGGTCCTGGTGGAGTGGGAGGTCCTGGTGGAGTGTGAGGTCCTGGTCCTCCTGCAGTGGGAGGTCCTGGTCCTCCTGCAGTGGGAAGTCCTGGTCCTCATGCAGTGGGAGGTCCTGGTGGAGTGGGACGTCCTGGTGGAGTGTGAGGTCCTGGTCCTCCTGCAGTGGGAGGTCCTGGTCCTCCTGCAGTGGGAGGTCCTGGTGGAGTGTGAGGTCCTGGTCCTCATGCAGTGGGAGGTCCTGGTCCTCCTGTGGGAGTCCTGGTCCTCCTCCAGTGGGAGGTCCTGGTGGAGTGGGAGGTCCTGGTCCTCCTGCAGTGGGAAGTCCTGGTCCTCATGCAGTGGGAGGTCCTGGTGGGGAGTGAGGTCCTGGTCCTCCTCCAGTGGGAGGTCCTGGTCCTCCTGCAGTGGGAAGTCCTGGTGGAGTGTGAGGTCCTGGTCCTCATGCAGTGGGAGGTCCTGGTCCTCATGCAGTGGGAGGTCCTGGTGGGGAGTGAGGTCCTGGTCCTCCTGCAGTGGGAGGTCCTGGTGGAGTGTGAGGTCCTGGTCCTCCTGCAGTGGGAGATCCTGGTCCTCCTGCAGTGGGAGGTCCTGGTCCTCCTGCAGTGGGAAGTCCTGGTCCTCATGCAGTGGGAGGTCCTGGTGGGGAGTGAGGTCCTGGTCCTCCTCCAGTGGGAGGTCCTGGTGGAGTGTGAGGTCCTGGTCCTCCTGCAGTGGGAGGTCCTGGTCCTCCTGCAGTGGGAGGTCCTGGTCCTCCTGCAGTGGGAGGTCCTGGTCCTCATGCAGTGGGAGGTCCTGGTGGGGAGTGAGGTCCTGGTCCTCCTGCAGTGGGAGGTCCTGGTGGAGTGTGAGGTCCTGGTCCTCCTGCAGTGGGAGGTCCTGGTGGAGGGTGAGGTCCTGGTCCTCCTGCAGTGGTCCTCCTGCAGTGGGAGGTCCTGGTGGAGTGTGAGGTCCTGGTCCTCCTGCAGTGGGAGGTCCTGGTGGAGTGTGAGGTCCTGGTCCTCCTGCAGTGGGAGGTCCTGGTGGAGTGTGAGGTCCTGGTCCTCCTGCTGTGGGAGGTCCTGGTGGGGGGTGAGGTCCTGGTCCTCCTGCTGTGGGAGGTCCTGGTGGAGTGTGAGGTCCTGGTCCTCCTGCTGTGGGAGGTCCTGGTGGAGTGTGAGGTCCTGGTGGGGAGTGAGGTCCTGGTCCTCCTGCTGTGGGAGGTCTTGGTGGAGTGTGAGGTCCTGGTCCTCCTGCAGTGGGAGGTCCTGGTGGAGTGTGAGGTCCTGGTCCTCCTGCTGTGGGAGGTCCTGGTGGAGTGTGAGGTCCTGGTCCTCCTGCAGTGGGAGGTCCTGGTGGAGTGTGAGGTCCTGGTCCTCCTGCAGTGGGAGGTCCTGGTCCTCCTGCAGTGGGAGGTCCTGGTGGGGGGTGAGGTCCTGGTCCTCCTGCAGTGGGAGGTCCTGGTGGGGGGTGAGGTCCTGGTCCTCCTGCAGTGGGAGGTCCTGGTGGGGGGTGAGGTTCTGGTCCTCCTGCAGAGGGAGGTCCTGGTGGGGGGTGAGGTCTTGGTGGGGGGTGAGGTCTTGGTGGTGTGTGAGGTCCTGGTGGGGGGTGAGGTCCTGGTCCTCCTGCAGTGGGAGGTCCTGATGGGGGGTGAGGTCCTGGTCCTCCTGCAGTGGGAGGTCCTGGTGGGGGGTGAGGTCCTGGTCCTCCTGGTGGGGCGTGAGGTCCTGGTGCTCCGGCAGCGTCAGGTCCTGGGGGGACTGGTCTTCGGCCGGCTTCGTGCCGCAGCTGCAGTCATAAATGAAATCTTTGAGCCAATTGAAGAACCTTTTGCCAGCACTACGACCCATTTCTACAAGGAGAAAAACAAATTTCAAAAAACGAATTTTAATGAAATTTGTGTTTAGTGTCGGAGAAAAAAATATAAAAAATTGCTTTATAGATACAAAGGGGGATGTTGGGGTAGTATTTCCACCCAACATACACGAGTGAGTGTTTCTATGTACTGTATGAGTGAGTATATCGCTCACATGTACTCACTCGTATGTTTGGTGGTTTGTGCTTCTGGGTGGGTGTGTGTTTGTGCATGTTAGAGTATGTTTGGGACTATTGATGTGTGTGTGTGTGTGTGTGTGAACCTTTTCCAGTTTCATTATATGCTTCTTCAGATGGGGACTCCATGATAAGGCGGCATACTCTAAGACTGGCCTCACGTAAGCAGTGTAAAGCGCCCTAAATGCCTCCTTACTTTGGTTTCTGAAGGATGTTCTAACTTTGGCCAGTGTAGAGTACGCTGCTGTCGTTATCCTATTTATATGTGCCTCAGGAGATAGATTAGGTGTTACGTCCACCCCCAGGTCTCTTTCACGCGTCGTCACAGGTAGGCTGTTCCCCTTCATTGTGTACTGTCCCTTTGGTCTCCTATCTCCTAGTCCCATTTCCATAACTTTACATTTGCTCGTGTTGAATTCCAGTAGCCATTTCTCTGACCATCTCTGCAATCTGTTCAGGTCCTCTTGGAGGATCCTGCAATCCTCATCTGTCACAACTCTTCTCATCAACTTTGCGTCATCCGCAAACATCGACATGTAGGACTCTAAGCCTGTAAACATGTCGTTAACATATACAAGAAATAGAATTGGTCCCAGCACCGATCCTTGTGGTATTCCACTTGTTACTGTTCGCCAGTCCGACTTCTCGCCCCTTACCGTAACTCTTTGGCTCCTTCCTTTTTGCCTCTAGGAAACCTGGACTCTTATAAAACCTCTCCAACTTCTGTAATATTACTCTACCAAATCTTGCAACCATGGATATAGACAAGGACAGGCTTATCTAACTGAACGGCCGGAGAAAACCCCTCAAATAGCAGGAACGGTCGGCAGCGATACACCTCCCCCTTCAGTCAAGATGGCGTCCACCTCTCTTGCATCATCGCCCCTTAATACTCTACTCTTTACATATGCTGTCAAACACATTAATGATTTTATTTAATTTATTCCCCCATACATACTTTTTAATAGAGTCCATTTTCCCTTACATAGTTAAGCTACTCAAGTTTACATTATTTCTGATGATCTCCAGCTGAGAAGGCACTACTTTACTGGGCGGAGTATTAATGGTGACTCGCGGCCTCTCTGATCTCAGCTAGGGATTTATTTTAATATACACTCTCCCTGTGTCCACCAACATTTTACAACCGAAACCAACCTCCACAGGAGGTAAGGTTCGTAACACGAGCCACGCTCTGCACACGCGTGCGAGCCACGCTCTACACACGTGGGCTCACACCCACCGGACCGCCATTTCATACACACCGGAGTGCAGGCTCACACCCACTGGAGCGCGGGCTCACACCCACGGGAGCGGGAACTCACACACACTGGAGCGCGGACTCACACCCACCGGAGCGCGGACTCACATGCACCCACTGGAGTGCGGACTCACACCCACTGGAGCACGGACTCACACCCAATGGAGTGTGGTTCTCTCCCGCAGCGTGGTTCTCCCCCGGAGCGTGGTTCTTTCCTGGAGCCTCGCTCTCTCCTGGAGAGCACCTTTTGGGAGGCTCAGAAGGTGCGGGTCCACATCCACCGGAGCGCGGGTCCATTCCCACCGGAGCGCGGATCCACACCCACCGGAGCTCGGGTCCACATCCACTGGAGCGCGGGTCCACACCCACCGGAGCGCGGGTCCACATCCACCGGAGTGGGCCCACACCTGGACCCGGGAACTCACACCCACCGGAGCTAGTCCACATCCACCGGAGCGCGGGTCCACATCCACCGGAGTGTGGACCCGTGCCCACATAGTTTCACTTATAATTTTTTTTCGTTCTCTTGCAATGACTGGGCCTAAACACCACCAGACAATCAACATGTTTATTGCAGCAGTCGAAGGGAGATGAACAAGTTGTTGTTACTGTGCCCTCACCCTATTTCTTCCATATGCCTGCTTTAAGAGTCATATCAGCTTTCTTTACTGATTCTCTGAGATGCAGGGAATCTTTTTGCATATGTGGCGATCAGATCGGCCGCCTGATGAGGGAGAAATTTACATTATAAGTTTGTAGGTATGGGGAAAGTGGCTCCCTGATACAAATGAAATGGTACCCCGTACCTGCAGATCTGCCATTTTGTGGAGGGCGCCAACCGAGTGCGGTGTAACGAGTAAATCTTATACACGCTCCATTATCTCATTATCATAATAGCATAACTAATTAGCACTAATTACAGAAGCTACAATCCTTTCCCCAATTACATGTAATACTCTTCTCATCTTGTTGGAGGGAGCTGAGGTGTAATCACCATATAAGCAAGCGATTTAATGAATAGCGGACAGTACAATTTCCACAGTCAACAATGTAGTACTTGGCATGTACAGTTCTAGTCGACCCAAGACGCTACAGCTTCGACACAGAGCAGACTACGACCGCATCGAGCCGCCACGCTCTCGCTCCCCGAGTTCAGACACTCACAATTCCCAATTGAGCTGCCACGCTCTCCCACATAGAGCTCCACAACTCTGGCCTCACTCAGCTCTCTGCTCTGCTCCAGGCTTCGACTCAACGTCTACGACACTGCTGTATCCAGGACTACTAAATAAATATGAAACTCACTAAACACTGTGTATCTAATCAACCCAACACCATAACATAATCGTACGTTACAGCGGATTGGGTGACTTAGGTCACGGGCGACTAATCAGCGCTCGCTGTGACGTCACCGAGTTCCCCAGGCGGCGCCAACGTCAGAGATGAGCTGACAGTGAGAGTGGGAGGACGTTCCTCAGTCAGCTCTCGGGGTTTGGAGGCTCTTGGAGCCTTACTCAGTAGATTAAAGCAAGCCATCGCAGCCTACCATTGTTATTGGAGACCCTGCGCTTCCGGGAAGCAAGAAGAAACCAAGTTCATTGAGCAGAGAAGTGCCAAAACTTGAAGAATCGGTCGGCGACGACGCTGGAGGGACACCGCCTGACGCTTGAAGGTCTGGAAGGTGTGGCGGGCAGGCCTAGCTGTGACCGGGTCACGTTCACTGAGGATTTTGGAGGGACGACACCGTTCCTAGGGCAAGGAGCAACGCCTTGAGGAAGGGACGAGTGTGTGCATACAGTGATTAGCTCAGTGCTCACTGGTGAACCAGGATTGGGATATCAGAAACTCTGGGAGTGGTTCGGCGACGACGCGAAGGCTTCACGACACCTGAGGTATGTGGAACGTTCCTGGATCATCAAGGACCGACTCAGGAAGCGTGGGAACCTCACACCATCAAGGGACAGGCATTGTGAGCCAGGAATGTAAAGGTAGATCAATTTCCCTCCCTTTACCCCTTGTTTAAGTAGGCTAGACAGGCCACAATATTTACCTATGTATGTTATAGTATAACATTGATACATTAGTAGTAGGATAGGCTACAGGGCAGCTTGTGTCCAGGCAGGGTTGCCAGATTGGGCTACAAGTAGCGAATTGGGCTACTTTTGAGAGCCCCACGCTCCCAAATTTTTCATTTCGCTACTTGCGACTTTTTGGGCTACTTTAAAAGCAAGTTGGGCTACTTTGGACTATTAATATTAAGAAACTATATGATGATTATTTATGCTTTAATAATATAATGCGTACAAATCACAGCCGCGTCCAACAGCCTGATTGACTAGACCACTTACCGCAGGAGCCCTGGTCAGAGACCAGCCCCCTGGGATCCTAGGAACCTTTGAAAGAAAAAGTAACCGCATGGCAAGGTAATCCTCCTCAAGGGCCATAGATTTCCCAACCTTAAT